ATACTAAGAATTAAACACAAAAGCAGAATCTGAATGGAGGGGGAGAAGAAATGACTTGACCAAGACTCCAAGAGAAGCAAGAAGAAAGAAGTCAGAATTAAAAATGAAATTTATAAGTGAAATAGGAGTGCTAGGAGAAAGAATTGGAAGAAGAATAACTAAAACAGAAGGTGGGAAACCTTACTGAGTCAGTGAACTCCCTGAAAATGAGAACTGAGCAACCGTAACTCAATGACTCCAGAAGACAACAAGAAAATGAACAAACTCAAAAGATTGAAAAATAGTAGAAATATCTACCATAAAAACCTTGGATGATTGGCTAAGGATATTTTGAGAATAACTGGACTCTTGGAAAAATACAACTAAGGAAAAACTTGGACGTTATTTCAGGAAATCATAAAAGATAATTGCCTTGAGAACCAGAGGACCAAGGAAAAATAGAAAAAAAAATTCATGATGACCATCTGAAAGAACCCACAGCCAAAATCCAGAGCTCTCAGATCAAGGGGAAAATAGTTACACACACATATACGCACACAGAGATTTCAAGTACTGAGGTGAAACTCAACTATTTAATAAACTCAATTGCCCAGAATATAACTGAGTTATAAAGTCATAGTCATAGATTTTTAGAATTGGAAAGGACTTTAGAAAACAGGTAGTCTAGTTTGCTCAATATATAAATGAGAAAACTGATGCTCATAGACATTGTGGTTTCCTCAATATCATACAGTTGGTTGGAGGCAGCCAGTACTAGAATTTGCTGATCTTTCCACCGTCACACTAATTCTCAAGAAGTAAATTAAAAAAAATACCTATAACCAGTTAAAATAAATGTCACAAATGATGGAAGGGATGTGGGAAAATAGGTCTACTATGAGCTAATCCAACCATTCTGTACAGTTTTATGTATGTCCTTTGACCCAGAAATACTACTGCTAGGTCTGTATCCCAAAGAGATAAAAGAAAAAGGAAATGGAAATATATGTACAGAAATATTATAGCAGCTCCTTTTGTGGTGTCAAAGAATTTGGAAACTGAGGGGATGCCCATCAATTTGGAAATGGCTGAACAAATTATGGCATGTATGCTGGAATATTATTGTGCTATAAGAAGAAAATGAGGGGGATGGTTTCAGGAAAACCTGTGAAGATTTATATGAACTGATATAAAGTGAAATGAGCAGAACCAGGAAAGCAATCTACATAGTAATAGCAACATTGTAAAGACAGTCAATTATGAAAGACAATGATCCATCACAACTCCAAAGAACTCATGATAAAAAATGCTATCCACCTCCAGATTGAGAACTAACGGACTCAGAGTGCAGACTAAAGCATATTTTTTTTCTTCCTTTATTTTTCTTGGGTTTTTTTTTGGGGGGGAGGTGGCAGGTGGGAGAACATGGCTAATGCAGAAATATGTTTTGCATGACTTCCTATGAAAATAGGTATTGTAGTTCTCAGTGGGTGGGGGAGGGGTGAAAGGAGGGCTAGAATTTGAAACGGAATATAAAAGTAAAATAAAAACAAAACCAAATCAAAAAAAAGTGCTGGGGTTCTAGGATTGTCAATCATAGGCCCCCATCAGTGTACTTTCCATTGATGAGGAACCAGATTTAATTAGCTTTTAGAAATGGTATTTACCAAGCAGGTTTAAATCCAAGCAATGGCCCTTACTAGCGGCATGGTCTCGGGCATGTCTTCCTTTTTGTGTGCCTCAGGCTGCACAAACAGTAAGTGAGAGGGGCAGCTAGGTGGCCCGGTGGATAGAGCACCTGCCCTGGAGCTGGGAGGATCTCAGTTCAAAGTCAGCCTCAGATACTTACTAGCTGTGTGACCCTGGGAAAGTCACAACCCCAACTGCCTCCAAAAAGAAAAAAAAAGAGTAAATGAGAGTATTCCAATAAATGAACTTAAATGTCCCTTCCAGTTCTGAATCCTGTGATCTTTCCTGAGGAAGGAAGGAGGGTAGAGATTAGGGTCTGATTCAGAGCCAGGACTACGAGTAGGCAGCAAGCTTGGAATGAAACATGTGGTAGGAGGGTGTGATGATGCTTTTAAATACGACTTTTGATAAATGCATGTTCTCTTAAATTGAGAAAATTCTTTCTCTGCTGTCCATGAAATACAGGTATCTATTTTGAGATATGTCAAATCTTATGTGTTATGGTGAAAGTTCCAAGCTTGTGGACAGCCATAGATGGGTTTGTGTGTATGTGTTCAATTTTATATGGGACAACCCAGACATACAAATGCCTTGTGTTTACTTTGTGAGGAACAGTGTCTTTGTGTGTGTATGTGTGTGTGTGTGTGTGTGTGTGTGTGTGTGTGTGTGTGTACCAGCTGACAGAGATACTGCTTTTCCTTGGGTTTTGCTCTCCCCCTCCCCCATTACCTAAACATAAGCAGCAAATACCCTCCCCAACTGTAAGGAGGGCCTAGGGCAATCAAATTGTTTGGCCATGCCAAATTCCTGTTTGACATTTAAAGCCCTTCACAGCCTGACTTCAAGCTATCCTTCCAAGCTCCAGCCCCTATCCCTTCAATGAAGAGCTGGGTGACCCCAGGCATGGTCCATCCTCCCCTTTGGTGCCTTGTATGCTCAATATTTTGGGGGAAGTTTTGTAGATGAACTGATTGATCATGAAAAGAGCCCTTTGAAAAGTGTCATGCAATGGCCCTTGTTAGACAGACTGGAAAATTAGATTTCACTGCTCCTTTTTTGGGGGGCTCTTCAAGCTGATCTCCTTTCCAGACTGACTAATCCTCATGTGGGCAAAATCTCAGCATGCACAAGTTTTCCAGAGCTCATTTGCCATCTGCCCCACCTTTCCTAAGAATCTTCCTCACCCACCCTTCTTCACTTTGGTCTTTCTTTTTAAAAATGGAAAACAAGGGGGTGATATCAGGAGATGGTGGCTATCAGATCCTACAAAGTTTTGGTCTGCCCTTTGAACTGCACGCATTTCATGATGGGCTCACCATTCAAAAACTTAGCTCAGGGCTCACACTTTTCTTCTCTCTCTCTCTCTCTTTAAAACAAAACAAAACAAAACAACTTGTATTGATAGCTTCTGTTTTTACATCACCTTCCTTTCCTAAAATACTGTGTCCCATCCAGAGAACCATCCACTAAAAGAAAGAATTTTTAAAAAGAGACTAAAAAGTAGTTCAGCAAAGCCAGCAACCATGTCTGACAATATATGTAATCCTCCCCCACCAAAAAGTTTGTTTTCTTTCTTATTTCTCCTTTGGGACCAAGCTTTGTCATTATAATTACTCAACATTCAGTTTCTTTTTTTTTCTGTTATTTTCATTTATGTTGTAGTCATTGTTACATCTCTTTTCATTGAGTTGTTGGGTCATGTTTTTCCCCTCTTGGAGCCCCACAGGAATTCATTAATTCATTTATGTATTTTTCCTGAGAGAAGATTTATGAGGTTTTTACAGCAGAAAAAAATTGTATGGTCCAGTAATGCATTCAATCAATCTATCCATAAGCAGTTATTGGGCATTTGCTATGGGCTCTATTCTTCTCTATGCTACAGGCCATAGGGGATGCTATGAAGGAAAAGTAGTTGGGATCCTTACCTTTTAAGAGCTTATAATCTAGACACTCTAGATAGGGAAGACCCAAAGATGTGGGAAGATAGAAGGGAAAGGAGCAGCAGAGTGGGAGGGAAGGAAGGGATCAATGTCAGAAGGGTCAGTTTGGAGTCATAGGACCTTAGCTCTTGGAGCCCTAGATCTAGAGACCTCTTAAGACATTTAGTCCAACCCCTTAATTTTACAGATAGGAAATTGAGGCTCAAGGAGGTTGTGACTTTTCCAGGGTCACACTGGCAGTAGGTACAGTTTGGAACTGGAAGGGATGTCCTCCAGAACTCTACCAATGTGAAGTCTTACCTCCTTCCTTATCTTGGACAGTTCTTTTGGAGAAGGCAAAGGGAATAGATGAAGAGAGATGGATATATGGGGGGAGCTAGGGCCAAGTATGGACTAGAGCCAGAAGGCCTTGATCTTAGTGAAGTAGGGGGAGCTCCTTGGTTTAGAGGCGTGGAGGTTGGGGGCTCAGGAAGGAATATGTAGAATAGTGCTAAGGATTCAGTATCAATCCATACAATTTTTCATCTTTTCTGTGTATTCTACATTTCTATGGTCTCCTAGATTCGGTGCTGGAAGGCAACTAGGAGGTCTGGCGTCCATTACTATTCCAAATCACTGGAAGAATAAGTAAGGAAAATGCCTGAAAAGCCTAGGAGATAGGTTTTACTTCTAGGCTTCTTTCCCAACACTGTCAGCATCATGGGCTATCGGATTCCTGAGTTTCAGGAGAAAACCTTTGCATGTCCCACATTGCCCTTTTTTAGTGACTTGGGGAGGGGCGCTTGGGGTGGACGATTTCGGTTTCCTGGCTGGTGCTGGCTTAGAGGTGAAGGAGATGGCTGTGTTCAGGACTACAAGCGGAGAGGCTGGAAGCATGCATGCAGGCGGGGGGGAGGCGCTGCAATCATCAGCCATCCCGGGTAGGACACTTTGAATGCAGGGTCTAGACCCCCAGGGAACACGCATGACGACGTGGAGTTTTATGCTCTGCAAAAAAACCCAAGGCACTGAGGGACAGCCCGGGTGGCCTGGGGGGCGCCCCCCTTCTCCCCCCCCAGCATCTCGTTAGCACCAGCTGCAGAGAGAGGGTCTCCCTTAAGGAGTGCTGCCCCTGGAGCGGGCGCGATGCCCTAACGTGGTGATGGTGGCGGTGGTAGTGGTGGAAACAGCGGTTTCATCTGCAGGGACAGCAAAGACCTGCCCTCCCCATCCATCCATCCATCCATCCTTTCTCGGGTCCGCGGCCTGGGAGAGGGCTTCGTCGGGCACGCGCCCTCGCGCTCGCTCCCGGGCCGCTCGCTCGTGCGCGCGCAGCTTCTCCCCCGCCCCTCCCTGGCCATCGCCCCGCCCCCGTGGGGGAGTCCGGACTGCGGCTGGCGGGGGGAGGGGGTGGCGCCGCCATCTTAGAGTCGCGGCTCGGGCCCAGGGAGGCGGGGAGGAGCGCGGGGGCGCGCGTGTGCACGCGCGGGGGCGCATCGTCACGGCGACAGCGGCGGCGGCAGCGGCAGCAGCGGCTCCTCCGGCGGGACCTCGCCCTCGCCCCGAGTCCGAGTCCGAGTCCGAGCCGGCGCTTGCACTCGCCTCCCTCGGCCTCCTCCGCCGCAGCTCGCGGGCGGCCCATGGTCGGCGTTTGAGCCGCCGCCGCCTCAGCCCGTCCCCCGACGCTCGGCTCGGCCCGGCCCGGCCGGGAGCCCCCGAGATGCTGCCGAAGCGGCCGCCGGAGCCGCCGCAGCCGCCCCGCCGCTGCCGCTCCCTGCCCGCCGTCTCCGCCTGGCTCGTGACGGCCGCCGCGCTGTTCGGGCTCTGCGGCGGGGGCTGGGCGGCGCGAGGTGAGCGCGGGCCGGGCCTGGGGCGGGGGGGTGATAGGGAGGGGGAGGGGGCGTGCACCTGGAGGGGCGCCCCCCCCCCCGCTGGAGCGCGCGTGCACCTGGTGGGCCGGGGTCTGGGAGCGCGGGGCGGGGGGGAGGGGGCGCGCAGTGCTAGGATGCGATCCGGGACGGGGGTGGGGGGGAGATTGCGTGGGGGAGCCCCCCCAGTTCTCCTCCATCCTCCACCCCGCCACCTCCTCTGGGGCTGTGTGAGTGTGTGTGAGTGTGTAAGGGGACGAGACTAATGAGGATGCTAAGGCAGGTTCGGAGCCGTGAGTGTGAGCTGCGCGTGAGTGAGTGTGTAGAGGACAACACCGATGAGAGTACTGATGCTAAGGCAGGTTCGGAGCCAGGAGTGTGAGTGTGTGCTGTGTGTGAGTGAGTGTGTAAGGGGACGAGACTAATGAGGATGCTAAGGCAGGTTCGGAGCCGTGAGTGTGAGCTGCGCGTGAGTGAGTGTGTAAGGGGACGAGACTAATGAGAGTAAGGATGAGCCGTGAGTGTGCTGCGTGTGAATGAGTGTGTAGGGGGACAAGACCGATGAGAGTACTGATGCTAAGGCAGGTTCGGAGCCAGGAGTGTGAGTGTGTGCTGTGTGTGAGTGTGTAAGGGGACAAGACTAACGGCAATAATGGCTCAGAGCCATGAGTGTGCAAGGGGGCGACAATAATAATGCAGAGGTGGATTCGAAGCCGTGTGTGTGTGTATGTGTGTGTGTTGCTCGCTCTCCTGCCCCTCCCTGCCAGGTGCAGGTGCTTTGGCGCGAGGGGAGCAGTCAGGCCCAAGGGCGGGGGTGGGGGGGGTGGTTAATGGTTAAAACGCACAGAGGAAGATGGAGGGAGGGCTGGGGTGGGGGGGGTGGAGGCTCGAGGCCTTTCTGTAACCTCGGTCCACGGTGGCCGGGGTGGGGGGCCGGGATGTGCCGCGTGGGTACGGATGTTGCATGAATAAGATGCAGTGAGTGCGGGCAGCCGGGTCAGAGTCGAGAGGTCTCTTCTGCTCCTCCTTACCGGCCTGGCCAGGCACTGTTCTTCTGTCTTTTCTACCAGGGCCCGTTAGAGATGCATTATTGGGTTTGAGATTTGGCCTTATATTGATTAGAATTAGCTGGATGCATACATACGAAACATTTTTTTTTCTTAAATTGGGCTCTTATATAATAGCCATGCACTGCTCCCCCACGTTTCTTCAAAAGATCTCCTTTCCCTCCGGCAGATCGAACTCCACTTCCCCCTGACCCTTTAAAGGTCGTTTGCTTTCTAATTAATAGTCGGATATGGGTTGTAATGTGTTGCCAAAAAAAGAGAAAAGGTTAAAGTCATGAGTAAGGTCGACAACTATGGATTTATCCCGCATTGGAAAATTCCCCAGCTTTTCTTCTCCCTCCCTGCTCCACCCCCCCCCCAGCTGCTTGGTGCGGGTTTTTTTCTGGTGATATTTTGGATTGTGGAAGAGCTTAGATTGCTTGATTCCCTGGGAATGTGGAACCAAAATTATTTTAAAGATAATGTGCCAAATAACATTTCTTGTTTAGTTGATTATTTGGTTTTTCAACCTTTAGCACTAAACCTTTTAAATGTTATATCTTTTTTTTTTTATAAATATTGATTGATCTTGCAAAGGGAAAGCTTACTTACGCATTGCAGATGTACCACTGAATACATCTTGGAAGGCAAACAACTCTTTGGCTTTGGAGCAAAGTAATCCAGATGTATTCTGTAGAAAGTACTTTAAATTGATGCTTCTGATTCTGCAATAGCTGTTAAAAATGGAGGAGGAATCTGGATGTTTTAAAAAGTGAATTGAATTGCAACTTATCAGGCTTATACATTTTTTTTCTTTGGGGGCTTGACTTATATTGGGTGTAGTGTACAATGTTCACAAATTAAATTGCAGAGGAGGCAAAATGCATCTTTTGTTTCACGTTCTCATAACACTGAAATTTATGAACTGCACTTTTTATTCACATCACGTCTCAAACGTTGTTAACTGTGGTATTCAAATTTTGTCAACCAAGTATCTCATTTTTCTTCAGTTAACAATATGAATTAGAAAAAGAAGTTACATTAAAACTAGTTTTAAATGTTAGGCACAGACTTGAGAGCCTAACCAATATACTGTTTTATTTTTAGTTGTCTTGGGAAATATTTTACAGAATTTTTTACCTAAGGATACCGTATTTAAATGTTAAGGCTTATTGTCAACCTTGGGAAAGATGATGAAAGTAAATTGGCATTTTTGGGGGGTTATAACTGTTGTTTCAGTGATATGATTTTTGGTTGCCTAAAATAGACTTTTTCTTAAGGAGTTTGCTTACTCATTCCCCTTTTCCATAAATTAGTTGCTGTGGCTGTAGAGATATAGTTTGATATGCATTTCCATTCTTGAGCATTTTAATTACTGTGGGCTTACAGACTAGAAATGCTATGAAATTATATTCACAGAATTACATAATCCAATAGTTTGAAGGGGGCCATCTAAGTCGACCCTGCACAAATGGTTATCCAGCCTTTGCTTGAAGACCTCGATACTTGCAGACGCTGCCTATTCCTTTAGTGGAGAGTTGTCATTATGAGGACATTTTTGCACACAGCTCGGATCTTAACATACCCATGGCTCCTACTAATGCCCTCTTCCCCGTAACAGCCCTTGGAATCCTTGAATTCATTTCAACTCAGGAAACATTAATTGCCTATGATATACTATTCCCTGAGGCCCCAAGGACGAGATCTAAACTGTAGCTACCCTTGACAAGGAGCTAACATTCTGTTGGGAGGATACAACATGTTCTTCATTGAAGACAGAGCTATCCCCCTGATCCTCTTAGATCATCTCAGCAACCTGCTCACTCTTCTCTAGTCCCTCTCCAATTTATCTTCCTCTCTTAACCTTATTGAAATGTGGCCTAACTGAAGTCTGTAGTATCCCACATGTGGTCCGATTCGGGACACCCTGCTCCCGCCTCCCCACATTATACCTTTCACTGTGGTTCTAAGACTGTGTTAGCTCTTAGGGCTTTGTTGTAACCAGTGTTCTGTGTAATTCTCCAGCTTTTCTTAGTCTTCAAAAAGGACAAATCACTTGGTCTGCCTGGTTGCCTTCTTCAGCTTGTGTTAGGAGGCGAATGCCTTGTGAAATGTTAATAAGAGCAAATCACACACAGTCTTGTTTCTGCCGTGGTTTTTATGTTTATGAGTATACTTTGTGATGACTTCCTAAGGCCAAAAATAAAAGAGCATTATTTCTGGTAACATCTGAACTTTTCATCTCTGAAAATCTGTGTAACCTTCTGAACAACTCTTCTGGTTGGAGGAGTGTAGCTACTTGGTTAATTTAGTTTCTAAACCATTGATGCTAGGCCAGTCACCATATGACAGAATGCTGAAACAGAAGGATGGACTGAAAGTCAAAATTATTGTACTTTAAAAAGTATTTGTCATTTTATGAAGAATTTTAAATGTCAATTTTAGTTATAATTGTGGTTTTGAAAAAAAAAATCAAGTCTTCTATAGTTACTGAGCTGTGAATGACACAGTTTATAGGTAAGACATATCCTGGACCTAAGTTCCCAATATTTCCTAGCACGTTTTGGTGTTTAAGGAAGTAGTATCATCCTGAGGAAAATATTCTCATTAAGCACAGCCACACAGCATGTTCAGTCAGGATGATGATGATGATAGTAGTAGCTCACATCTGTATGATGCTTCTGCGTTGGTGAAGGCCTTTCTTCCCTTCAACTCTCAGGGACGTAAGCGAGCAGCAGTAATAAGCACTGCTTGGTGGTACCACTTTATAGCTGAGTGGCCTCCTTGTTAGTGGGCCCATTTTACAGCTTTGGAAACTGAAGCATAGAGAAGGTCAAGTGACTTGTTAATAGTCACACCGCTTAGTGCCAGTGGAGACTCTATCCCCAATCTCCTAAGTTCGTTTCTTTTTGTCAGACCCTGATGCCCCTCCTAAATTGTTTAATAAATGCCTGATGATTAGTTATCAGTGGTTCTTATTTTTTTTTTCTGGTGTCAGAATTCTTTGCTTTGAATTAAAACTTTAGGGGAACCTTGGCAGAAAATCTTTAGAAGAAAATTTTAAAGAAATGCCTACTATAAATGGTTCCAAATAACAAAGCTGATTAAAAAAAACATGATTTTTTTTTGCCTCAAAACTAAAAATAATATAAATGACTTGTTGCGAATAATGTGATCGCTACAAGTGCTTTGTAACTGGGAACAATATTAGTTATGATAGATGGCCTGGTAAATGATGCATCACAGCAATTTGCATTTTTCCTTTATATTTAAGCCAGTATTTTTTAGGGGATGGGTTCATCCCATTTTCCCCTGTGAAGTTCTAGTTGTGTTTTAAAACGTGCTGTGTTCTGCTTATAAATGCCTCTAGATTTTATAATCACAAAACAATTTTTAAAAATTGGTAGCATAAGATGATTGGCATTCAAACCAGGCTCCTGGTGTTTGTTTTATAATCAAAGGCTTAGTTGTTAACAATATTACCTTTTTAGCTCCTCAGACTTCTTGTTTGTATACAGTGGTTTATGATGGAAATTATCATGAAATTGATTATAGAAGGCAGAAAGAAAAGAAAAGCTCAGATATTCAGATGGTTCTGTGATCTCATCTGTGTAAAGATTCTCTCCAAAGATACAAGTTGCAAGCTACCTGCCTGCCTGTCCTAGGGAACTCTTGTCAGTGTCATCTCACATTCTCACAGGGTTGCTATTGGGGCTCCACCTGATGTATTGGAGGCCTTTCTCCCTTTCTTTTTAAGTCAGAGGGATATAAATGGGGCACATAGGCTGTTTGGTGGCAGTGACCTACCCATCTCCTCCCCATACATTTCCTTATTATCGCCCTTGTTCTCCATCTTCTTCTCTGTTGCCTTTGAGTGATTTTTTAGTTTCATTTCTTTGGAGATCAATATTCCTTGACTTGCAGAAATACAACTTT